TGATGTGCATTATTATCATTTCCATTTTAGAAAGAGAAAATTGAGTCTCAAAAAGGGTGCCTTGCTCATGATCACTTAGTGATTACCTTGTATCATCATCATATTTTAAAAACATGAGTTGTACTGGCTCATTCAAGTTATTCTTAAAGTAAGCATAATTTTGCGGCATCCTCCAGACATCATTCCTTAGTTGTGTTCAGTCTTTGGATCACACTCTGTGGTGGGGTTACTCAACCAGTTGCTAATAAAACTCTCTGTAGCATCCAGCACAGTTAGCCATCTCTGGCATAACCATATCAGGAGAGCCTTTATCAGCTCCCTTGCCAAAATCCAGACAGTCTATGTCCATAGTATTTTCATGATATTAAACCATTAAGATAGGTGAATAAAGTTAGTTTGGTGTTTCTTTTTCTCACAAATTCATATGATTCCTAGACATTTCCATTTTGCATTTCTAAATGATCAAACTATTTGTTTTTAGCCTGAAAAAATTATCAACCCGATGAAATCTGATTACTTCTTAACCAATAAGAACAATTCCACAATTATTATTATTGAGGAGTGTGCTATATGCCTGGCAGTCTGCTGCCCCAGGAGTGTATAAAAGTTAAACTCTACTATAGTATGTTTTTCATACTGTGAATCATGGCCCATTAATGGATTGTCAAATAAATGTGGTGGGTCACAAACAACATTTTTGTTGCTGTTAAATCTTCATCTGAGGATATTTTTTCCATTGATGTTTTAAAGAGAGTGGGAGGAAGGGAGGAAGGAAGAGAGAGAGAGAAAGAAAAACATTGATGTGAGAGAGGCACATCATTTAGTTGCCTCCTGCACGTGCCCCAACTCGGTCCAGGGATCAAACCTGCATCCCAGGTACATGCCCTTGACCAGGAATCAAACCCACGACCCATCAGTGTGTTGGCCGACACTCTAACTACTGAGCTATGCCAGCCAGGGTACAAAGAACATTTTTTTAAAAAGGAAACAGACTAAATTAGATTATAAAATATCAGAGTACAGCTAAATGAAATAAGTCAGACAGAGAAAGACAAATACCATATGATTTCAACAGAGAACAAACTTATGGAGATGAAGGCATGGATAATAATAGTGAAGGGGAATAAGAAATACAAACTTCCATCTATAAAATAAATAGGTTATGGGGATGTACATCACAGGGAAAATAGTCAACAATAAATATTATAATAACTTTGTAACAACAGATGGTTACTAAACTTATGGTAATCAGATTGTAAAGTGTATAAATGTTTAATCATTATACTGTACACTTAAAACTAATGTAATATTATATGTCAATATTATACTTTAATAAAATATATCAGGATAATAATAGTCTGATTGATTGATTGATTATAATATCTACGTGTGCCTTGAGTTGTGATAGAAAATGTATTTCTTGCCGAAACCGGTTTGGCTCAGTGGATAGAGCGTCGGCCTGCGGACTGAAAGGTCCCGAGTTCGATTCCTGTCAAGGGCATGTATCTGGGTTGCGGGCATATCCCCAGTGGGAGATGTGCAGGAGGCAGCTGATTGATGTTTCTCTCTCATCGATGTTTCTATCTCTCTATCTCTCTCCCTTCCTCTCTGTAAAAAATCAATAAAATATATTTTAAAAAAAAGAGAAAAGAAAATGTATTTCTTATTACATGTTACCATCAATAGTTTGAAAGAGCCTGCATTAGAGGAAAACAAAGATACAGAATCAGGTCAATTTCCTTTGGCACATACTGTGGTAAAGGGAAGGTTCTAAAAGAGAATGGATGTTTTTTTCTTTGTTTTGTTTATGTTTACTATCAGTTTTTGTTTGTTTGTTTGTTTTGGTTCAATCTGTACTGAAAAAAATTTCCTGAACTGTTTGACTTTTTTTTTCCAGTAAGTCACCACTTTTCACATGCCTTTGTTGGGTTGTAATTACCTTCCTGTTGCCCAAAGCTAGTATAATAAGTTCTTAGAGCTTAGCAGACATGGGCAGGCTTTCCACTCCCAGTCCACAGTGCCCAGCTTGGCATCTTTTCTTAACCAAAATAAAGGAGTCCTTATCCAAATACTATGTGGTTTACTAGCATCAGTAACCAAGTTTGGGCTAGCTTGAGAGAGCTTATTGGAGCCAGCACTAAATATTATAGTTTCTGTTTTAAAATATCTATAATTTCTTTAGAAGCATATCCTTCTTTTGCCTTCTCAAAAACTATTTGCTGAAAGGGCTTTTTTTCAAAATGCTTACTTAATGTCAACTTCCCATCACTAGATTCCTGAAATGTGATATGAAAATCCAGAATGCAACCCTCAATCTATCATGGTGCCTGATATATAATGACCCTCAGAGGTCAGGTTTTATTGTATTAATCATAGGGGGAAAGGAAGTAGAAAATGCTACTAAGTATAATTTTGTGTCATCATCCCAGATGACTTGCCTTTTTTCCACTTGTACAACTTTTTAAATTTTTTTTGCCAAACCTTTATACAACTATTTTTAAAACTCAAAGCTAATTTTCCACAGTGTCCCCAAAGCTATGGAATTCTTTGTTAATAGTACCTTGGTTTTGTACTTTCTTCCACCTTATACTTGAATGTTCAAAATTGTCATTTAACCCAACCCAAAATGAATGTAAATTTTCAAGACATAAACTATCTCAATATTTATTTGTTTTTCAACATTTATTGACTGAGCAACTGTTCACTTTTCCTGGAAAATAGAATACATTGCAAAGTTAAAGAGAGTTAAGGTGGATGATAGGTATGTAAATAGGTGACAGGCAATAGATAAGCAGTTGAATAAACATTAGAAAATAACAAATAAACAAACACTGCTAACTGTGTTTATTACTTAATCCCCTCAGTGAACCCATGAGAGAGGACCTATTTTTAGTCTCATTTTATAAGGGAGAAAAACTTTGGAGGGAGCAAAAAACTTATATACAGTTATAAAAGCTCTAACTGGTCCTACCAGCACTTGGAACTGGGTCTTAGAATCAGATGCCAAAGTAAAATAAAATAAACTGAATTAAATCAACAAAAATATATTGAGCAGTTACTATGAGCCTGGAGAAGTGAATGTGAATAAAACAGAAACACAGGCCCTGCTCTTAATGAGCTCACATATAATGAATGACTGAGAGGGGTGTGTGTGACATGAGTAAATACTGCAATAAAGGTCTAATCCAAATAATACAGGCATGCAGGGGAGAAAGTAGTCATTGTTTGGGGCAGCCAGGGAAGGCTTCAAAGGGAAGAACTTCACAGGTGAGCCAGTACTTGAGAATCATCAGAGACCAGGGAAGGACAGCAGTGACTCTTACTCCTGTAACATTGCTGAATGTTGGGGAATGGTTGGGGGATAGGCAGCAGAGTGAAGGGAACTCTGGAGTAACAACTGAAATGAGGCAAGAAAAGTAAGTACATGGCAATCAGGATGCAAGGGCTTAGAATTCCACACCAAAGACTGTTAGGAAGGCTTCCCTCAGGTCACTGTGTCTCCAAGCTAATGATCTTTACCTTAGTCTCCCCAACTTGGTTCTTACTGTATATTCCCTGGGAAGCTGTAGGTTTTTTGGGTGGGAGCGTATGTGATCATCTTTGAATTACACTGTAGAAAGCTGCTTAGATGGCAAAGACACTGGAATCAAGGATTCTAGCCAGGTTTTGACTATAATAGGCCCAGAGAGAAGTGTCAAGGACTTAAAAAAAGGAGTGAAGATACAAATGAGGGAATAGATTTGAAAATCATCTGAGTTGGTCCCTGGTAATATATGCATGGTGAGGATGGAGACATTATTATTTAGGCGCTCTAGGTCAAGGCCTATGCTGGACTGGAGAGACTTGCAAAGATAAACAAGGTCATCTGTGGCCTCGGGTAACCCAGACACTCATTTCTCAGGGGATGCAAATTCGGGCAGAACCCAGACAGGTAAGATAAATGTGTAAAGAGACTAGTGTAAGACAGGGCAAATTAGTGGGGCCCAAGCAACCCATAGATGTGTGTCCTGCCTAAGGTATTCAGACTCATAATTGATTAAAAACAAGAAGGCTGGCCTAGCAGCACAGGCTGGGTAGACTCTCCTCAACTAGTGATTTCCAGAATTCCTCTTACAGAAATTCAGTAGATGATTTTGTTGTTAATTATACAGGGAATTCTATATAATAAAACCCTAATATGCAAATTGACTGAACTGCAGAACGACCAGTCTCTATGATGCGCACAGACCACCAGGGGGCAGACGCTCAATGCAGGAGCTGCCCCCTCGTGGCCAGTGCGCTCCCACAGGGGGAGCGCTACTCAGCCAGAAGCAGGGCTCACAGGTGGTGAGCGCAGAGGCGGTGGCGGGAGCCATCTGACCTAAGCCAGCAGGTGGACATCTCCCCGAGGGGTCCCAGACTGCGAGAAGGTGCAGGCTGGGCTGAGGGGTCCCCCACCCAAGTGCACAAATGTCGTGCACTGGGCCTCTAGTATACAATAACAACCAAGTTGGGGAGACTAAGGTAAGGATCATTAGCTTTGAGACACAGTGACCTTGAGGTTCAGAAGAGGGAAGCTGGAAATATGGTTGTGGAGCTCAGTGAAGAAGTTTCAGGAAAGAAGTAAGTGCTTTTTATGGCAGGATTAAGTTTCTGTGTGAAAAAGAGATCACAGATGTTTTAGATTTAGACTGTCTAGTCAGATGGTAATTATACCTTCTTTGTAATCAGTCAGGAAAATCTTCTTAGAGAAAAAGGAATGATTCAGAAACTCTATGAAAATTGAAAGGAAGAAAGCTTGGCAGGTTGGGAAGAGATCCTCTAGCCACTGGGGAGGAAGAGGGTGTGCAGGACCATGCATGATGGTGGAATCACCTTTACTCAAAGGTGCCCCAAAAAACAGAGGGTGTGCATGAACTGGAGGGAAAGGAGAGGAGATGGGAGGACCATGCCCCTGGGCCCTAGATTTCCCATTTCATCTGAGCCACAAGCCAATGTGCACTATCCTTAATGTTTTTCAGGGTGAAGACTCAGATGAAGAAGATCTTTGTATCAGTAACAAATGGACTTTCCAAAGAACCAGTCGGCGGTGGTCTCGTGTGGACAACCTCCACACACTGTTTCCTGGGGGAGACAGAAATGGGTCATCTGGAGACATTAGGATGAGAAACACAACCAGCAGTGAAAGTGTCCTCACAGACCTGAGTGAGCCCGAGGTCTGCTCCATCCACAGCGAGAGCAGTGGTGGGAGTGACGGACGCAGCCACCCCGGCAGCCAGGGCACTGGCCGGGAGGCGTTTGACTCTTCCAGCCAGTACTGCTCTGATAGCCCAGTCATGCTGGATGCCACAGTATTCAGCAGCAGCCTCCCACAGTCCTCCAAAGACGTCCTCAACTACCCTTTCCACCCAAAGAATGAGAAACTCAGTAGACCCAGAGCTAAATCATTTTTGAAACGCATGGAAACACTCCGAGCAAAAGGAACACATGGAAGGCATAAGGGGCAGACAGGTGGCTTGATGATCAGCGGGCCTGTGCTACAGCAGGAGCCAGAGTCCTTTAAGGCCATGCAGTGCATCCAAATACCTAATGGAGATCTCCAGAACTCACTCCTGGTTGCCTACAGTAAAGGGCTTCAATGCTCCAGCAAATGGAGTGGTGAAAGCAGCCCATCAGAAAACAGCAGTAGTGGGCTGAGCACACCTGGCCTGAAGGAACGGAAATGCCAGGAGGCCAACAAGCGTGGGGGCATGTACTTAGAAGACCTGGATGTGCTGGCTGGGACAGCACTGTGGAATGCAGGTGACCAAAACCACACACATGAGTTTCATTCCCAGGAGAACTTGGTAGTACACATTCCCAAGGATCACAAACCAGGAACATTCCCAAAGGCACTGTCCATCGAAAGCCTCTCACCAACAGACAACAGCAATGGGGTGAACTGGAGGACCGGTAGCATCTCCCTGGGTAGACAGCATGGCCCTTGTGCCAGGGAGCCTGGGCTCATTGCCTCCTGCCACAGAGCAAGTCGAGTCAGTATCTATGACAACGTCCCATTGTATGCCAGCACAGGAGACCTTTTGGACTTGGAGAAAGATGACCTCTTACCTCACTTAGAGGACATTCTGCACCACGTCAGTGGCCTCCAAGAGGGAGTGAATGAACTGCAAGCACATGAGGCCTTGGTTGGAAAACCTGGCTTATGTCCCTTTCCATTTCCTAATCAGATAACCCTAGATTTCGAAGGCAATTCTGTTTCTGAAGGTCAGACAACACCCAGTGATGTGGAAAGAGATGGAACATCACTTAATGAGTTGGAGGCCACCGGGATCAAAGAAAGAAGGGATTCTGGTGTAGGGGCCTCTCTGACTAGGCCAAACAGGTTGGTGGCATGAGTTTGTGAAGTGATTTTTAGTCCACTTCTTAATAATTATGGTCTGTGTATTTATTTTTTAAACATGTATAGAGCACTTATTAAATGCCTGACACTGTTAAGTGATGTATGTGGTTAGGAATCATTTGAACAGAAGTATGTCTTCTCTACAGTTAACATGGTGATTAAATCCCTGTTATCTCACTTTTATTTCTCTGAGTGTGCCCTCTAATTCAATCCTAGTTTTATTTTTTTTAAAATGAGCTTATGTGCAAAGGTCTATGTGATGCACCATTCATAATCATTGATAATGGAGGCCCAGTGCCTGTACACAGGTGCTTTCCATGACCTTGCAACAGTATTGATTAAAAAAATCTCTACCACAAATGTTAAACTATTTTTAATTTAATTGTATGAGAAAATTCTGATATCTAAGATGTGTACTTCATAAGTTTAGTTTGGTTTTACAATATCAGTTACAAAGTATATAAAAGCTGTTGTTCAAAGACCACTTCAGAAGTACCCTAGAGCAATGGCCTTGGATGGGCCTAACTGGTAGAAAGAGTAATAATGTGTGTGCTTCTAGTGGAGACAGTGATGTCTCTTGGGACTCACTGATGTGTCATGACATCAGGAGTGCTTTATCTGTGCCTATCAGGCTCCATCTCAACACCAAACGAGAGGTGAGTGCAGGGACAGGGTAGCAATATAAAAATATTCTAGTGCTCCCAAACATTGACATTGAGATCTCTTTTCCTATCCCTCCCCCCTCCCCCCCCCTCTCTCTCTCACACACACACACACACACACACAACAGCTGCTTTCAACATTTGGGAGCAAATTTAGGGATGAACAAGTGAAAATTATTATATAACTTATTTAAACCTCCTAATAAAACAGATAATGACTTTTTTCCAGATTTATCAGACTTGGAAAAAGTAGTTTCTTTGGTCTGTTCTTTGCATTTGTGTCTTCTGTTTTCATTTGCTTGGTGATTTTCTTGGCACTGAACCTATTTTGAGTAACCACTTAAAAATTAGTCACATCCTGTGTTTCTGGATAACATATCCACTTTGTGACTGCCTCTCTGATGGTCTCTCTGGTAAAGGCGACTCCGATGGAACAGTTTCCAGCTCTCCCACCAGCCTCAGCCATCCACGGCATCACCCCACATCAGCAACCAGACTGCTGGCCAGTTGAACCTGCTCCAGCGCTTCTCGCTGCTCCGCCTCACGGCCATCATGGAGAAGCACTCCATGTCCAACAAACACGGCTGGGCATGGTGCGTAGCATGTTCACTCCAGAGAGCATCATTTGGCTAGAGCTAAGCGTGTGATTGCAAAAGCGTTAGTACTTGCTTTCTGATTTCTGTAAACCTGATCATTGCCTTTACTTGCTGACCTCCTGAAAATAATGCCCAGAGTTCTGCCTTACTGTCTGCTTCCTGGGCTGCCTCGGCTGGGAGGGGATGTAGCCTGCAGGAAGCATGGCTTTATTTGTAGCTCTCTGCCAGTGTCCAGGGAAGGCACTCAGGCTCCAACAAGAACAAAAGTCAAGTAGTCAAGTAAAAGCTGATTAATTGTGAGCAGAGTAATTAAAAATAAACTTGCTGTAAAGTAATTCTGGCAGTTTGCAAGGAAACATCTGTTATTTGTACCTTCAGACCAATACAGAGCTCAACACCTAGTCCTAGAGCATTGATTCATTCAAAAGGCATTTCATTCTTCAGGGACATGTCTACTTTTATTTAATTGGCAAAAAAAAAAACAAGAATATGCAGTGAAATGTTTGTAATAAGGACTTGACAAAACATGTGTTGGAACTTAAATGTGGACCTATTTTAGATGATTTGAAAAAATGTTAAATGTGTCACTAATTGTCCTATGGTATATATTATGTATATAGAAGAATTGGCAATGCTTTTATAAAAATAATTTAGAAAGTTATAAGTTGCATGAACAAATTAATGTGCTTGTGTATTAAAATTTCCTTTAAAAAGTACAATTAGTTCTAGAAAATTATAGCCAAGAAATGCTTTTTATCTTCTCTCCCTTCCTTTCGCCCCCAACCCAACTAAGTTAATTCTTCTTGTTGTTGTAGTTTTTAAGTTTCATTTAGTCTTGTTGGGGACTTTTAAGTGTTTATTACTTGAGAGGTGTGTAGTAACAATTAAATTAGAAAGTCGACCACTTGATTTGAAAACAGAGCCATAAATCCATCTGTTAACGTGAATCATGCTGTATAATAGAGTTCTAACATAGGCAAGGGGCACACATTGTCCTTCCATGTACTGTGATTAATTAAGGAGAAATATTGAATTCCCTCATGCCTGTTGGCTATTCCTACAAAAGCTTGGCTTTACCCTCTTGCTTGCTTTCACAGCCTCTCCCAACAGTAGGCCCCAGGAGGCTTGATGACCTGGTTTCTGTGAATTCTAGGTCAGTTCCAAAGTTCATGAAGAGGATGAAAGTTCCTGATTACAAAGACAAGACTGTCTTTGGCGTTCCTCTTATAGTTCACGTCCAGAGAACGGGACAGCCCCTGCCTCAGAGTATTCAGCAAGCACTCAGATATCTTCGCAGCAACTGCCTTGACCAGGTATGGTTGGAAATCCAAAACACAGGCTTGGATTTATGAAATGCCAGACAGAGTCATTGTCCAGCATCAGACAAAAATGAGCTTCACCGAAAATAAAAGGCATTGTGATCTTTATAGGTCAACTAGAGGCCCGGTGCATGAATTCATGCTCCGGTGGGGTCCCTAGGCCTGGCCTGCGATCTGGGCCAGCTGGCCAGGGGGAGGAACTGTGGGAAGTTGGCCGTCAGTGGAAAATTGGCTGTGGGAGCGCACTGCCCCCTAGTGGTCAGTGCACATCATAGCAGCTGGTCTACCGGTCGTTCGGTCATTCGGACTTTCAGTCACTTAGGCTTTTATATATACAAATATTTAATTTGACCAGGCTATATTTCGTCAAGCTGTTTGAGCATGTTTTCTCATTGGCACCTTGAATGACTCCCTGGAGTGACTGCAGAAAGTTAATGTCAATAGTTTTCAGCTGTGGTGGCTAATTTGTGTTCCCTAGAAATTATATACTGCATTTCCTTTTTAATTATTGTCCTAATGCCACCATTGATTTCATAGCATTTCTTTTAGCCCTGTTATCTTTCTTTTAAAAGAATTAATTTTTATATTTTCTTTCATTAATTCTTTTTTTTTTTTTTTTGAAGCAGCATTATGACCAGGAAAACTTAAAGGAAAGACAAATTTATTTACAACTGTTTAAAATATGCAAGTAAATTATGAAAACAAATATCAGCTAAATCAAATATGCCCTCATCTTGTAGAGTTGATTTAAAAGCTCAAGCTAAACAAAATATTTGGAGATCATTTTCTGTCTCCAGGACTGTTTGGGGACCACCACATGGTAGACCATGATTGGGCCCAAAGTGCTACCCATCCTATAAATTTCTAGACCAAGTCTTTTTTTCTCCAAATTAATACCCATTAGTTTCTTAGACATTCTTTCCAAAATAAAAGCCATCTTATCACTTGATAAATTGCAACCTTGAGCAGTGGGAATATTTTTAGACAACTATTCAATATGGCTTTTGTTCATTATACTCTTTAACGCCATGTGAAGAAACCAAAGATTATTTGTAATTTTTATTGATTTACCCCTGGACTTGGGCTCAGTGGACAGGAATGAGCCAAGCTACAAGAATTCAAAGATTCTGGCTATTTATGCTTATATCAACCCTAATACCAAGATCAAAGTTACTAGTAGAATCAGGATGGTCTCTTGAAGAATCAGATACCAATTTTCAGTGCAGCAGAATAGTAGTAACTTCTCTGTTTGATGCCAGCTTTGAATTAATTAAATGTATGATCTCCATTTCCCTTCCCACTCCTAATTTTCTCTTCTATTTTCTTTAATTTAATTGCATTTTATTGTATTTTATAGATCATTGTAAGTAGCCTGGAGTTCTTTCTTGAGCAAGATTAGGTATAAATGAATGAATTGTAATACGTCTGCTCTCCTCATCACATAGACTGGGAACCTGTCAGCCATGGCCCCTATAGATTCTGAATAACATGTAGCACCAGTATCACTACTATTATTGGTCCAGTCTGCTGTTTGAAGCAAAAGACATGAATAGAGAGAAGTATAGTGGGCACCAAAACCTCCTCAATCCCTACTCACTGTCTATTCCCACTTTCCATATCAAGCCATAACTACTTTTTAATTATAGAAGAATGTATGTCTCTCCCCTTCATCATCAGAGTGTGAAAGCACCCAAACCTCTGCTCCCTGTGAATAATGAAGTGGTAACAGGAAAAGGGCCAGGGAAAACTAGAGAAATATAATGAAGAATCAAAGAAAACTACAGTCAAGAGGAAGACTGTCCTGGAGACTTCAGAAAGAATAAGAGCAAATAAAAGCAAATGAATCCGAAAAGAAAGAAGGGGCAAAGAGTCACAAGGAAAAAGCAGACATAACACTAAATGAATGTTCTTTCTTCACCAACAGCACCTCCTTTGAACTGAAAATATTAAGGTCGCCCAGGAGCTTGAGATCTCAGCCCCAGGGTCATGAAAGACTAGAACATCTCAGAATATGCTTCCTCTAAATCACAGGTGGCTGGCCGTCATGGTGCCTCCCTCTATGTGGTCCCCTCATACCACATCCAGGACACCCCAAGGCTTTGCCCTTACCCACAGGGAGGGAGGCTTCCTGCCCTGAGTTGGGCCCCCTCCCTTGAAGCTAAGCATTCATCTCAAACACAAGCATTCATGGTAAACAGTGAAAGACAGGGTCCTGAAACATTGCCAACGTTTCATCTCCTACACTCCTAAGTGCAGAGCAGTTTATATATGACCAAACACAGTGTATCATTTTGGCCCTTGCATCTGGCTTCGGATGAAATAAGGGAGTTTAGCCTTCAATTATGAACCATTAGTATTCAGACATAGCAGTGTGTGAGAGGAGCCTTGCTTTGTTGGCTGAGCTTTTATTTCTGCCCTAAATCAACTGTACAAAGAAGTGTAGATTCTCCCAGGCTCCTGATAAACATGAGGTCTCTGCAGGAGAGGCTAACCCCGCAGTGCTTAAAATCAAAACCACAGCATACCACCCTTACGACCCTATCTTCTGAATAAAACCAACCTTTCTTCATTAGCTGAGCACATTTCTTAAGAAGAGGAAATGGAAGTCCTGATAAACATCATTAGCACAAACAGGATGCCAACAAGGAGACCTAATATTATTTAGATGAAATTTGAATTCTGATGCAATGTTTGTGCCCAACTTCTAATGGAGAAGTAAATTTTAAAGGCCAAAGATGCTGTGAAGATTCTTCATACTCAGTACAAGTGTCCTCTACCTGCTGCCTGTTCATCACACTCCCTGTTGCCTACCCCAGATGAGATGAGTGAGGATCTGGGGCCTGTCTTTTTCAATTGTACCTTGTGTGCTTGCTTTTTCATAGCTGAGTTGTTAACTGGAAGACAAAAGAGAGATGAATAAAAAAACTAGTCCAAAGAAGCACTCATCATTCATCCTTATAAAATAAGAGCTCATGTGCAAGGGAGATGCATATAAAATTAATTTGCATTGCTGACCACTATTCTTCCCTTTTTAGGGAGGGTTTAAAGTGGGTGGGAGCATGACAATGTGAAATTCCTTGTTTATAAGTTAAGAATTTCAAAATAGTGACAACAGAGTATTAAACCAAGTGTGAGGCCCTGGTCGCCTGTCTACCAGTGACAGACATGGAGCAAATGAAAGACACTGTGCACTCCTTGAGTCTTCCTCTTAAGAAGCTAAGGGATCTGGGGTGGCCTCCTTCAGTGGGAATGACATGGTGCTCTTAGAGGCAACAGATTTTAAATTGTTTCTTCAGTTCTCCATTTTGTATTTAGAAAAAAATTTTAGCCCAAAAGACCAATTTTATCACTGCTCTGAAAACTTTTGGCGGAAGAAATGAGTACTGGCACTCACTCATGCCGCCACCCAAGGTTATTCCATGAAGGCTGTTAGAAGCTTTCTCTGGTCTAAGGATCTCTCCACCATTAAAGGAAACTTCTACTTACTGTGTGCAGCGAGTTTTCCACTGAAAATAACAGAAGTTCCCAAATGGCTAAAGCAGCAGGAAATTCATGAGCCTCACATAAGGAGTCAGGAAGTGGGATGGTTCCTGGGTTAGTTCTTCCATCAGCTCAAAGACATTTTTAAAGACTGGGGTTCTTTCCACCTTTCCCTTCTGCATCCTCAACTACGACATAGGGAATCTGATCTGATTTCAGACCACCTTTTCTTTATTACAGTTAGAAAAGAAATGTCCTTCTGTGCTTCTAACAAAATCCACAGAACCCACAGATATTTTCCACACCCTTTGGAAGCTGAGGGTGGGGTGGAAAGGTTTTTGTCAGAATTTGAGGAAGAACAAATAAATATGTGACAACTCTCTGGACAGCCTGTGAGACCTAAGTCAGAACAAGCAGCTCTGAGCCCACAGCTGGAGTGCTGCAGAGATGTCTAAAATAATTAAAATAACAATATTTGATGAAACTGGAAAGAAAGTTGGAAACAGAACAGTACAAAGAAAACATTGCTGAGATGTGTGTACATGCACACCAGTGTGCACCAGAAACCACACCAGGAAGATGAAGTGGACAAAAGAGGAACCGCGTTCAGCAATTTTCACACAAACACTTGTCTACTTTATTCTCTTTATACCAGTAAATCCTGATCAATTTTTCTCTGCTGTTAAAAATAGTAAACCGGAATTCTCAGACTGAGTAAACACCAACTCACCTGAAGATAATGTGACTCACACTTAAGAATTCACTTTATGAGCACTTGGATTCTGAGGATTCCTGTGCAACACAGCCCTTCGCACAGTCCTGGGCCTCCTTCCAGAATTAGAAAAGTTGAGATGTAAACAAATTCAGGCTGGATCTCACTTCAGGGAGCACTCAGTTGACATCCTGAAGTTTTCTTCTGACAGTACATGCTTTCTTCTCATGCACTTTGATGAAATTTGGAGTAGTTGCCAGAGGGTTCTTTAGATTCTTCTTGGAGAGTCACCCAAGTATGGCCAAGTGTTGCATTTCCTAGACATGGCAAACTTTAAGGATAAAAATTAAAGTAGTTAATATTTTAAGTGACATGCCTGAATAGCCTCATCTGTGGAATTAGGGTGATAAGCCTTGGAATGCAAAGACGTATTACTCAGAATCCTGTTTTTATTTCCACAAAAAGTAGCAGGGTATAATTCCCCTGTGATCCACTCAGCTGACATATACAAAAACCTCAGTATTCTCTGATTGCTTAGAATTCTTCCCTTGTTGTTACTGCAATTTTAAAGAATTAGGGCTGCTCTCTATTTATAGCAGCAACCAAGAGAGCTCTCCTCAGACCCTGAACTTGGGTTGAGGCCTGCCTGGTACACAGAGCAGTGGTGAGGTGACTGGCACATTTCTCCAGGTCTAGAGATGACGGGCCAATGCTTACTTGCCACCTGGAAATGTTTCCATCTTGCTTTCAAAAGTGGGCCAACCTGTAAGTCCTTGGGGAGTGAGAAAAGTAGAGAATGAGGTTTGCAGGACTGAGTTTTGAGCAACTCAGTGTCTTACAGGCATTTAAAAATAGCAAACATACTAATTCACTGTAAACCAGGGGTCCCAGGGAAGCTCAGAATGTGCAGAGTCTACAGGGCCCACAGTGTAACCTGCAGGAACCTCCCGCCTCATAGGTCTCTGCTCCACCTCCCTCATCCCTATCAGGGCCTTCATTTCTTTCATGCCTTATTGCTGCATTTCTTTGTCAACTGGGGTAAGAGTCTAAAGCTTAGGGATGAAAGAGGCATAAGACAATGTCTTGAAGTCTGAAGAAAAGCCACCCAGGAATCATTCTCACTAGATCCAGAGCTTATGCACATAATAATTAACCAGGCAGACTGGTAAGTGCCAGTCATCACCTGAAAAACATGCATAGCCAGTGTTACAAAAATTCCGAAAAAGGAAAAGCATCATAAGACTCTGAAATAAAAATACACGCTTATCATTACTATAAACCTCACCCCCAAAAGGAGCACTGATATGGCTGTTTATCTGGGATCCACCAAACCTTCCATTGACCAAACTTTCTCAAACCCGCACTTAAGTCAATACTGGGGGGCGGGAAATTTTGTCTGGTCTGCTCACTAATGAACTGTAAATATGCCTGATATAATAGTGGGTATTTAACCACTACCTGTTGAATAAATGAATAAAATAATAACATCTATTGTGTTCTAAGAAGTTACAAAGCACAGACACATATATATTCTCATTTAGTCTCCTCAATAGCCCTGTGAGGTGGGGTATTATTATTCTTATCTTCATTTTTTAGGAGAGGAATCAGTATTCAACTGCTATCCAAAGTAGATAAACTAGTCATTTACAGTTTACTTATTTGGATGCAATTGCTATTTATCCAGGCTTGATTCCACACCTTCTCATCACTACCAAGGTGTTGTCTTAGGAAGAGAATGTCTGGGCAAACATAGCCTCACTAACATGTCCCTGTGACTTGTTTCAGGTGGGCCTTTTTCGAAAATCTGGTGTGAAATCTAGAATCCAGGCCTTACGTCAAATGAACGAGAAATCCCCTGAGAACCTCAGCTATGAGGACCAGTCCGCTTATGATGTGGCAGATATGGTGAAACAGTTCTTCCGGGACCTCCCTGAGCCTCTTTTCACCAACAAGCTCAGGGAAACCTTTCTCCACATATATCAGTGTAAGTAGAAATAATGTAGATTGGTGTTCTCATGTGTACCCATCCATTGGAATACATGAACTCATAAAGAAATATATAAAAGTTATCATTCTACACTCCTCTCCAGAAGTAACTTTGTTCACAGTTTGATATATAAATCTCCAGGCCATATTTTTTGCATCAAAATTTTCCTTTTTAGTGTAGTTTGGCCTAAGATCTGAAACTAACTTTCAGTGTACTTTCAACAAATTTAAAATGAAAAGGGAACACAATAGAATTTATTGTGTATATAGGTGTTTTTAAAAACCCATTTAATTTTCTAAAATTCAGCGCTTCCTTGGGATATATGAAAGTTAAGGCCAAAAGCGTTAAAATTACTGGAAATAAAAGGCAAATATATGGTAATACAGTGTTTTGTAAGGGTGAACGGTAAGCAAATCAAATCAAGCTGTATGCTTAATTCAACTAATTTATGTTTTCACTTGAAATTTTTAAAAATATATTTTTACTAATTTCAGAGAGGAAGGGGAAGGGAAAGAAAGATAGAAACACCAAAGATGAGAGAGAATCATTAGTCAGCTGCCTCCTGCATGCCCTCTACCGGGATTGAGCCCACAACCCTGGCATGTGCCCTGACCAGGAATTAAACCATAACCTGGTTCATAGATTGATGTTCAACCACTGAGCCACTCTGGCCGAGCTGGAATTTTTTAAGTGATGATAAATTGATAATTCTCAACTAAGCCTCTAAAATAATCATGAAAATAACTGTTTTTATTAAAAGACATATCCTGCTAAAGCTAATTATAAAAGAGGATATTAGTAATGAATATGGATTCTTTCTAGATATCATAATGTTATCATTATAATTATTTTGATGGCTTATTCTCAATTCCTTAGGGAAAAAAATTATTTGTCCCATGGACTTTGACTTTTCAGAAAAATATGCCTGAAGTAGACCTCAACATGGAATTGATCCCATTTGAAGATGATCCCTACTATAGAGAAATAAGTACTAAATGTGTTTAAGGAGTATACAATATTTGAAATTCAAAAAGGTTTATAACAAGTAGCATTTGTAAAAACAGGATAGAGTGGTGATCCACTAAATAAATATTACTTTGTCAAAGTGAATAGGTTAAATTAATGATACATGTTGTTAGAACCCCAAAATAGGGAGTTCATGATGTTGTTGCCATAAGAGGTTGAACTGCATTTTTCAATTAAGTCTCCCTTATGGCTTGGAAATATGATATATGAATATTTCCATTTAATCAGTTTTTAGAGTAAGGTTAACACTAGATTATTTCCAAGAGAGCAATGTCTTTGACCCTTTTTGAGACTCAACAGCAAGAAACCAGATCAAAGCAAGGCTTATATTAACTGAAAAGACATTTACAAAGGGTTGTTTATGTACAGAGCACCATGCTGAGTACTGCAGAGCATACAGTTGGGGAAGACTTAATCTCATCTCCTAAGGATCTTGCAACAGAGGGGAATAAGACACACATAAATAATTGCATTACAGCAATATTAGAGAAATTTCATATAAGTTTACAGAGAAAACCCAAGGATGACAACTGGAGGTTGAGATATGTAAGGAACACATGCTGAGTGAAGCAAATAGCATGACCATGTGGCCGGAGATGACATGTTCTGGCATCAATGGTAAATGTACAATGCTGTATCAAATTACACTGAAAATTAGACTGAGTATGGGCATTGAATATTAGGGCAAAGAATTATACTTGATCCATTAAGCATTGGGGAAGCCTGGGGTGTTGATAGTAGGCTCTTAGTTGTAAAGTCATAACCAAAATTCCCAAAGTTGTTTAAACAATAAGAACATTATATGCCCCAGCTGGTGTGGCTCAGTTGATTTGGCATCATCTCATGCACTGAAGGGTTGCCAGTTCAATTCTGGGTGAGCAAACATGCCTGGATTGCAGCCTTGATTCCCAGTGGGGGGTGGGCAGGAGGCAGCAGATAGATGTTCCATTCTCATGTCAATGTGTGTCTCTCTCTCCCACTCTCTCCTCTCTAAAAAAAAAAAAAAAAACACAATAAAAATAGTTTTTAAAAAACAATGGGGACATTATGTAATGCACATAACAAAAAAATATGGAATTGAATAATTTCATGATCAGTGGTGCCAAGGCTGAAAGTCGGCCTCTCTTGATGATCCCCATTAAGTCCCTTAAAGTGCCACAACTTAGAATTATCATGTCTTCCCAAAATCACATTCAAAGGTAAGAAGAGGACAGAGGGCTTCTCCTTTGGCATATATCTCTTTTTATCAGAGAGAGAAATTTACAGAAGCTCCCAACATTTTCCTTGGTCCCACAGGCCAGAAATGGTTTACACATTCCCCCCTAGATCCACCCTAGATATGAGGGAAGGGTCCAGCTTCTCAGAGCTCTTTACAGCCCACACCTTCACAGAACGTATTATTTTCTTCTAGAAAAAGGAGAGAGTAGATATTGAGTAGGCCACCACCTTGTGCCTGCCATAAGGGCCCATGTCTATCAGAACTGTGTTTGGACCCATGAATCTGGATGTGTAAACAATAGATATTGGACCAGATGAGAATAGAGGGTTAGGAAGCCTTAATTGAGGCTCTGAATTACCTGTAGTGATTTCCAGGAGTGAGACTGGAAATAACCTTCATGGAGGAGACCAAGTTTACTAACTATTGTTGAGTTAGGGAGGAACAATTCTTTCTCCCATTCTCTAGAGCAGTTCTAGTTTTAGCTGTGTTACTTTTCAGATTTTCATCAAATGATTAATTAGAGATTGGATGATTAGTGAAAATATTTGAAACCCACTAGTCTATGAGAGAGGAGAATAGAGGGTCAAAGACAACCCTTAAGCTTGATGACTGGAAGAACAGAGAAAGGAAGGAGGCAGAGCTACTGACTGGAGGATAAGTAGGACAGAATTGTTTAGAATTGACTGGATGTTGATTTTAAGGTGCTGCTAGCCATCCACATGGTCACAAGTTATCAGCATTTAGGAATGAATATCCAAAATGCTCTCATGAGAGTCAAGAAAGATGCAGAAACTTCCAGAGTGTCATGTGTAACAGAAAAGTGAAAAAGGATGGTACCCAAAACAAATGTGGAATTTTGGGATTAATAGTTGACCTTTGCAAGTAATTTTAGTAGAAAATAATAGATAGAAGTTATTTTCTGAGATATAAAGGAGCAAGTGAGTAGAAAAAAAGTTGAAACATGTAGCCATGACAGATGCTGGCATGAAAGAGAAGGTTAGCAATCTAAAGTTAAACAATGTCTCTACAAAGCATCTTACCTGAAGTAGCATACTTAAAAGCAGTTCAGATTGAGGGGGAGAAAATGGTGGCTGAATAGGCAAACCTTTCTTGCACCTCTCCCAGGACCAGACTGGAAATAAAACTAAAGTGGGGAACATACACTCGGAATTACAAACTGAGGTCCAGCTGAGAAGGAGACTTATATCAAGGAAGGAAAGAAAACACCTAGGGACCAGTAGGAAAGGAGAGGTCAAGAGAGGAGCTGACCCAGCTTCCAGGGGTGGCAGGCCGAGAGAGAGAAGGGATCTCTTGGCTACAGGAAAGTCTGTTCCCTCAGAAGACAGAGACCTGGAACCTATTCTGGGCTCCACAACCCAGAGCACCAGAGCCAAGATCAGTGGCCCACATAACATCGAGCCATGAAAGGTGGCAGGACTGCTGGCCACCTTGGAGTCTGAAGCTGGTAGACCACAGCATGCTGGAGAGAAAGCCTCAGTTTCAGGGTGTTTTTTTTTGTTTTATTTTTAAATCCAGATCACAGGAGTTTCATTTGCAGCTACTCACCCAAGGCTTTGGTGAAGGGAGGGAGATGCAGACTTGAGGTGCCTAAGGAAAGGCTGGGGTGGGAAGCATTGCAGGGAGACATGGAAAAGCAGCAGCCAGGAGTCCTGTATTTGGTCATACACCTCCAAAAAGAAAAGGGCCATTTTTCCTGAGAGGAGCTAGCCACTCCCAGTAGCCATAGCACAGGAAAAGAAAAAAGAAAACACTCATGCTAGGAGATACAGCCTGCCCCACCCCCAAGGAGCCCTGCATGCCACACCCTACATTTTAACCTTTTCAGAGGAAACAAAAGCAGAGGCCAAGCCTATGTGTTTGAACAGTTTCAGGAGCCCTCAGTAACTGGATTGGGGGAGGAGTCATCTGCCCCATTATCCCAGGAAACTGGTGCTTTCCCTATATGAGAGAACTGACGGAAACTCCAGGTTTCCAGCTGATCCCGCTGGACTGCATACAAGGATCTCTGTCCAGCTGAGGGCAGAGTAATATTTTGGGCCACTCTAAGAGCTCTGGGACAGGAAACACATCCATCACTTTCCCTGAAATCTGAACAAGCACCTACATCTCACGGGAGACCCAGTAGTCTAGACTCATGATTCTGCCTAAAGCCCTTTCAGAAATAGTCTTTTGAGTAATTAAGATTGACAGCTGGCTGGCAAGCAAAGGCACGCAGAAGCAGAGCCTGGGGACATGGGGAAGCTTACTAACCCAGCCCTGGGCCCCATGCTGCTAATGAACCTGATTTAGAGGGCAGATTGGTCCCTCCCATGTGCAGCCAAGTCCTGTAGAGACAGACACAAACTGTGGGTCACTTGGAGCTTCCAGCAGGTTGCTGAAAGCCAAAATAGGACAGTTTCTGACAGTGGCTAGCACCTATGTACCTCTTGGGAAACCAAGAATTGGCAGACAGAACAGTTAGCCACAGTCACCAGAAGAGCAGGACCCAAAAGGAGCTTCCAGGAGGCACTAAACTCAGTAAGACAAATGCCACTTCACTTTTTTGTCTTCTTTTCTTTTTCTATTTTTTCTCTTCCTGCTCTTTTTTCTTTTTTATTTATTTTTTTCATCTATCTGATTTATTAATTTGTTATGTTGTTAGTCTCTATTTTTTCTATCATGTATCCAATTTTTCTCTTCCCCAGTGCTACTCAGTATTTACTTTGCCTTTTTCTCCTGCTTTCTCATCATT